TGGTTGGAATGTTCATTCATATTCTATAAAAAGAATACATAAATTTATAAATATAAACACAGATACATATATTTCTATGTATACGTATAATAATTTAGGGGGTTAAAAAAAACAGAAAGCTAGTTTTGACGCAAAAGTAGCATCCATTAAAAGGGAATGGGGGGGGGGGGGGGGGAAAAATTGAAACAGATTTCATAAAATGCCCCCCCCCCCAAAAAAAAGAAAAAAAGGCTGGAAAGAAAGGACCACTTCTATCTGATTGACAGAAGAATTTACCAACACATACTTATGTAGAAAGCAAACAAAGAAAGTCCCACCACCACAGGGCAGTGATAAGGTTTGAAAAGATACGGTTTCGCAGGGACTCCACAGCCAAATTGAAGACATTTCGGGCGAGGGTCAAAGGTCAAAGAGGTCAAAGGTTACGACACTTTGTCCTCCACGTTCAGGTGATGCTCGACGAGCAGCGCCTCGAGACGGTCGATGTTAGCCGAGAAGTTGGGCAGGAAGTGGTCGATGTCGGAAATGACCTGCAGGGCAGAAAAACACACAGATCTGTACTACAACTTGCGACTTAATAACACGGCTCACGAAGGAGAACAGCCCAACCTGCTCTAATGACCACCTGTCCAAGACAAACGCCAGTACAAATGACTCTTCCGACTTCCCTCCTGTACAAATGACTCTTCAGACTTCTCTCCTCCCTTAAAGTTTTTTAAATATAATTATAATGACACTGTTCAAGAGGACTACCTGTCTAAGATGACCACTTTTCTCCTTGACAACGGGTGGTTTTCTTGGACAGGTTCTTTAATTGCATATTATAATTTGCAGGTTTATTTGATTCGTGTTTCTTTACAAGAAGCATTTGAGAGGCATCGTGGTAAAATCAGGCGCTTGTCAAGATAATGAAATCCGAGAAATCTGCATTTTTCGGCTATAGTCCGGACAACACCAAAAGGAAACTTCATTACACTGAAACTAAGTGCCTTGATTTTTTGCATGAATTCCCAAAACACTTTAAAATCTCGATTTTTGAGCATATGCGACAAATATAAAGAGGTTTTTTCGATATATAATCATTAGCATTTTATTACAGTCTGCGCTGGGATTTTTATTAGAACAAGAACGGTAGTTGAGTGTTAGTTTTTTTGTTTGTTCAAATCTATTTTCTTTTTTTTTTTAACTGACTGTAAGTGCCGCAAGACTAAGTTGTTTTCAGTCCAGCGGTTAGTGGGTAACAGTGGGTTTATTTAGATTGACTAATTAGTAATTGTGCTATACTGTGAGTAAAATTTCTTTCTTCACAGTCTTTGAGATCGTATGTGTTTCAATTTGATGTCACTTTTTCATTTATCACCATGGTTACATTACTTAATTTACAAACCAGAACACCCCTAAAAAACAAACAAAAAAACCATTGCCTTAAAACTGCTGAACTATTAACTACTGAGATAATGTTGACATGTCAGAAATGATAATAAAATAATAATAATAATAATACGGTAATAATAACAATCATAACAATAATAATGATAATGAAAATAAAGGTACATAATACTTCCAATAATACTACTTTCATATATTTAGGTGGTTCGAAAATATGTGTAGGGAGGGGAGGGGGCTCTGCCTTGGACATGCATGGGAAGTGGGGGGGGGGGGTGGGGCGCCCAGTAACATGCCAATGTTTCAAATTCATCACTCTGTTGATCCCCGATTTTGGGTTTAACTAAACTGTATCTCCCCGCCCCCCTCAGGAATTTCTGGCTGAGCCCTTGCAACGACACCCTGTATTGTTATGTTTTCAGCATTGTACCGTGCTAGCTATAAAAAGTGCGCACAGTTGAGTTTTATATGAGCAATTAATTACTAATGATTTATGTAGACAGCACCTCTTTATATTTGTCACACATGCACGAAAATCGAGATTTCTCCTGTCCTTTAGAATTCAGAGGGGCATGCAAAAAATCAGAGAGATTCGCCACTAAGATTCAGTGTAATGAGGTCGACAAGTTGTCCCAGACTATAGTTCGGACATTTTTGGGGGAACTTTTTCTTTTTGTTTTTTGTTTTGACTTAGCACCTTGTTTGTTCAATCAAAAACACTTTTATGTGTGGATTTAAAGGAAAAACGTTGATTAAAGACACATCAAATTTAACTTTGTGATTTCCAAGGACTCTTAAGCTATAGAAGTCAACAAAACTTTGGCAGCCATTTTCTCGCTAATTTTACCTCACAAACCTGGCAACCCCACCTCCTTCAATCGCAAATATCTCGACTTCTATTCAAGATAAATAGATATTTTTTTCATCAAAAGCAAGGCAAATTAACTACCTTTAAGATGATACCAAGAGCGCCATACGCCCAAAATTGACGAGCGCCTGATTTCACCGCGTTGTGACACATATCTAATTTCTTAGTTTTCATGACTTTGCGAAGTAAAATACTTCCTAGGCCAGTTGTTTTGTTTTTTGGGTTTTTTGGTAAGTGTTTAACGGTGCTCAGAACTGCATAAGGTCATATGAGCGTGCGGAACACAACAAACATTTTCAGTTGATAGGAAATTTTGAATCTTGCCCAGGTGGTGGCCGAAGCATACTCTTATCGATTTTAGACCACCAAGAGATCTTTAACGTGCGCAACTTGCACACGCGACCTCCAAGACTGAGAAGGCTAGGTGTAGATCTTTCCTACCAGAAAATAAGGGGTGTGGCTGAAAGACAGCAGTAAGAAGGAGCCAAGGAGTTGCAGTAGAAAGGCTGTAGAAAGAGTCAGGAGCCCAGAGGAAGGGGCAAAGGAGGTGAGGGGGTGGGGAAAGAAAGTGGAGACGAAAGCAGACGACAGAATATTGCAAGAGAGAAAGACAGAATGTGAAAGGAGACAATTTTAGAGAAGAACATTCTTCGGTTGCTACCCGGATTCAAACCCGGGACCTTTGAATAAGAGGCCAACACCTTAACCTCTAGGCTACGAGAGACCCCCTTGGCCAGCAGTCCAGATGTACTCAGACCTGCCACTCTATGATACCTCAAAATCAGGATCTCAGGGAGAAAAAATCGGGATTTGGTGAAAAAAATCGGGATCAACAGCAAATCACCAAGGTAACTGCCAAAGCTGACTTAGAATTTTTCCAGGGGTGTCCATAAATTACTTGGCCTATATGCCCTCTGAGTGTCTTTGTTTGTTTGCGTGCGTGCGCGCGCGTGTGTGTGTGTGCGTGTGCGCGCGCATGCGTGCGAGTTATCATTATTTTTTGTAAATCCTGAAGCATCACGTCAAGCACCCCTAGTCCAAGTGTCTATACCCCCCTCCCCACCCCAATCAATAAGTCCCGAAATACATGAACTTAAGTTGACCCCGACACGCAGAACTCACACGGCGATGTCATGTCACGTGACGCGAATGCGCGATTGAAACAATTTTATTAACGGGTCCGACTAAATGTGCTTTCACACAAAACTCTCAGATGAGCGACAGTCGTTCTACTTCTAGTACTCTAGGATAACAACGGTGGCCGACCGACCAATTGTACCAACAAATCTCTTATCCCTCATAATGCGTTCAGACTAAAGCAACGACAACGGCCGTATGTTTGTCTTGTCAGCACAGTTACAGTTAGTTAGTTGTGTAAGGGTTAGAAAGACTGTTGCTCGTCCGAGTGTTTGGTGTGAACGCACAGTTACCAGATCTCGGGCAAGGCTTGTTTTGAAAGAAGCAGCGAAACTACGAATGTTATCAATTATTTGTTTGTCCCAAATTGTAACAGTTACCAGGCTATCATCGGAGAATTCTGAGTGCGGGCAGAGATCACACACAACTTGGGGCGAGTCAACTACTAAATGCGGCATCGATATTTTGGGAAATAGTGCTCTGAGTTCCTACTGACAAAAAGTTCAACGGGTGCTTCCCGCGATAAAGGAGAAGGAAGAGTATGTTTTTAGAAAAATCCGGCACAACAGCAGACTGGGACAAAAATCGGGATACACGCGATCGAAATTGGGAAATTCAGGATGCTTGAGATTTGGAGAAAAAAATCGGGATATCCCGACTAAATCAGGATGAGTGGCAGGTCTGTGTACTAGGCCCAAAATATTGATAAAAAGAAAACACTGCAGTTTCTTTAATCTGTGGTACCAGTTGCATGTGCTTTAAATGTTGAAAAAATAAGCCAGGAAAGAAATATAAAGATGGTACAATGGTTAAAAGAATAAAAGTTGTTTGTTCTTTTTTCCTTTCCTGTAAAATTTTGCTTTCTGCTTGAACAGCTTGTCAACAATTGTTTCCTTGAGAGAGAGAGAGAGAGAGAGAGAGAGAGAGAGAGAGAGAGAGAGAGAGAGAGAGAGAGAGAGAGAGAGAGAGAGAGAGAGAGAGAGAGAGAGAGAGAGAGAGAGAGAGAGAGAGAGAGACAGACAGACAGACAGAGAGAGAGAGAGACAGAGAGAGAGACAGAGAGAGAGAGAGAGAGAGAGAGAGAGAGAGAGAGAGAGAGAGAGAGAGACAGACAGACAGACAGACAGACAGACAGACAGACAGACAGACAGACAGACAGACAGACAGACAGACACAGATACAGAGACAGACAAACAGACAGACAGACAGACAGACAGACAGACAGACAGACAGACAGACAGACAGACACACAGACAGACAGACAGACAGACTGACTAGTCATGATTCAATCCACTCACCATTTCTACGGTTGCATCATCAGCAGTCATCAGAGCAGCAAGGAAATCTTTTCTGTAAGGTGTTAAACGTGCCACATTCTGTAAACACAGACGAGACAGACAGGAGTCAGATGGCTTGTACTATGAATCATCACTTTGAAACAAAAAGACATCTTAACTTGTACTGTAATGACCACACTCAGTTGGTACCGTAAAAAAAAGATTTTAGTTGGGTTTTTTTTTTAAGTTTTAGTAAGAGTTTTGCAGCACTTGCAACACAATGAAGTCAAATAAGTGCTGAAGATTAGATGTGTTATTAGAGGGTACCTAACAAAGAAAAGAAGAAAGAGAGATAACGATGATAGATTCTATCTTTACTAGGAAAGAAAGATCAAACCACACCAGAGCCCCCGTGAACCACTCACTGTATAAGAAGCTAAAGATTTAAAATGTCCATGACAGTGAATGACAAGCTTTGCTACATTATACCCCAAGCTACAACATGTTGCTCTTTCAATGCATAAAAGTAGTGACAATTAATGTTTTAAACACTAGATGCAACATGTTGTAATGCAGCAAACCACACATTTACCAAACCAAACCCCAAAAAACTAAAGTTATCTTTACTTTTCATCGCCATCTGCGTTGGCCTACTAGAGGGTTAGTGGCCAAGTGTGTTACGCTGCACTGAATTGTATAACTTTAACAGAACCAGTAGAATGTCTCAAGGGAATCAGTCAAGTGGCAAAATATTTCAGTAATTCATGAACTGTATCTTTATAAAACCAAATCAAATTAAGAAAAAGCCAAGTCCAATATAAAAAAATGAAAAGTTTGTAAAGATTTATGTAATTTAACCTGATTTCCCCTTGATCCATTTGTTTGCATTCCATTAGCAACCCTGCTTCCTTTTAGCAAGTCCTCCAGATGAGAGTATTTGAGAAAGAAATAAACATTTGGATCACAAAAAAACACACACGAAAAAAGAAACTAACAACATATAATTGTGAGCCATAATATCAAGCATATGTTGGTGATATAGTGTGTTGAACGTTGGCCACTGGAGGTATGCCCATGAACTGGGGGTATGCCCATGAACTGGGGATATGCCCATGAGCAGGATACATCAATCTTGGCTCAAAAACAGAGCCCTGCACAGTGTTGTCCATCAATGAAGTATTAATTGAGAGATTATATTGTTGTGATAATATGTAATAATAATAATAAATAGTATCTGTACAGCGCAAATCTCCGCTCAACAGCAAGCTCTATGTGCTTCACATTCTGTACTATTAATCTACCCCAGCAGACTTGAGAGCTTTCTGAAACAACCTCAACTTTCTCGGAAGCATATAGTGCAAGAGGCCATTTATAGGCGCTAAAACACTAACATATATATTGACAAGATTTTTCGTTGTCTAAGGCTGGGTACCCATTCCCACCTGAATGAAGCTGGGAAAATTCGTGTAAAGTGCCTTTCCCAAGGACACAACATCAGACTCCTGGCTCGAACCCCTAAACCCGCAACTTCACGATTAGGAGTCCAGTAGCCAAACCACTAGGCCACCAACGCCTCATGTACTGTGTGGCATCGATGAATTCTTGTATGTTTGTATTTTGCAGCATTGGTGGCTTAGAGGTTAGGCTCTTAAATTCGCAACCATAAGGTTGAGGGATTGAATCCTGTCAGGGGCCCCAACATCGTGTTTTTGGCAAAGGCACTTCACTTGAATTTGACAACATAAAACAAGATGATTACCAAATTGTCGCAAAAATTCTCACATATTCTACAAAGGTCTTCATCAAGCCATCAACTCACAGAGAAAAGAAACTGCGTCATCCTCCCATGAAAAGGTTTGAGGGTACCCTGGTAGGCGGTGACCACAGTCTGTCGCAGATTCTGCTCCCCCACTCCGGCGTGGTACTCCTTGGACAGGAGGGAGATGAAAGACAGCAGGAACGACAGAGCTCTGAAAGGACAAAATTACAAGTTACATTATGGGGACCACATCAATATTTGTTTACCAGGTAAGAATGAAATATTCTTCATCTTTTCCTTTTTTTTCATTCTCGATCATGACAAATGTTCAACTTGACACGGCAGTACTATGAGAAAGGTACTTCTCATTCTTGATCACATCACCTAGATCTATAGTTATCTGTTGGGAAAGGTACTGCATCTTATTTTCTTTGGTCCACCAAGCAACAAGTGGTCTCTTGTCTATTGGTTGAAACGAAACAAATGAAGAAAGTGGTATGCCTGTAACTGGTTGTAACGCTGCATGCCCTCCTCCTTCCCCTCCACGAGACCCACACAGGGAATTTCTTTAGTTTTCAATTTTACTTATAAGAGTTTTACAGCACTTGCAACACAATTAGGTTATATTGTAGGCTAATATGAGTGATGAAGAAAAGAGGTGTTACTAGAGGGAATATAAAAAAGAAAAGAAGGAGGGGAAATAAGGATGATAGATATTTCATAGGAAAGAAGGAACAAACCACAACAGAGCACCCATCAGCCATCCACACAGTGAATTAAAATAAATAGACAAAACCAAACAAGTCACTCTGAGGCGCTGACATGGAGTGAACTTTCTCCAGTTACCTTACTACAAATAAACGAAATCTAAAAAACTTTAAACCATATTTTGTATTTATATAAACACATCTAAAGCCCTAACCCCTTCTTCTCACAACTTAAAATTGTTACTGAAGTCCAAGACAAATCAGTGTTGCCACTGCTGACATACATGTGGTGTGATAAGAATCAAGATAACGTTAAAAAGTACATGACTGCAGTGTCAGTCTAGCTTTGGTGGACCTGTAGAGGAAACAGTAGACAAGGCAATGTACTCTAAAAATCAACACATACAGATCAATCAGGAATCTGACAGGGGAGAGTGTTTCACAAAAAAAGCACTTCCACAAGGTCTGAACTTTCAACTGGGACATCAAATTATTCTAGATGTTGTTAGTTCTGGATGGGTTTTTTTCTTTTTCGGACCCTGACAGAACTTTCCCCAAGTAGACAAATGGAGATGGCAGCTTCAAGCTTTTAACCCTTTGAACCCTCTGTACCAAAATATCGGTGCGAACGCAAAGCAGCAAATACCCTGGGCTACTGAAATATTGTTATGACATACCTACCTAAATATGATGAGCGGTTACAGAAATAGAACACAAATATGAAACAGCAGCATCAATAAACATCAGCATAGTGATATAACAACTAAAAAAAAAAGAAAAGGATAAGATCAACACTAAAATGAGCTGTAGAAAAGTATACCTAAAAAAATCAATGAAATTGCAAAGGAGCCCAGGATATAGCCTATTAAAGGCTCAGAAGCCCAGAGTTCAAAGGGTAAAAGGGCTGCCAAGCTGCGTATCCCCTAATGGGATGAAAAAGATCAGTTGGAAAGAACAGCATACTGTAATAAGAGAATTATGAAGTCATGTGAGCCCCCAGCTGAATAATAGCAAACAATAAATCATCCCTTTACCATAAACTTAATTGCTGTAATTTTAATTCATATGAAGGCCTGCAAGGGGCCACTGGATCAGAAAAGTAAAGTAACTCATACATGGAATGAGACGAGCTAAACGTGAACCCCACTGGGCTGTTCAAAGGACAGTCACTCATACCTCCTCAGCCAGATCAAGGCAGCAGCTAAGCTTGTGATCTTTGATGACTTTGCTTGGACCTGTGCCTCATCCTGAATGATGACTTTCAGGGTGGAGTACTTTTCGGGGTTACTCTTGAACTTCTCATCAATCCTCTGAAACCAACAAGAGGAAAATATTTCATGAACACTTAAAGATAAAAAGAGACAAGATGAGATAGATATATCATCACCCTATATATGGAATCTTTTTGAACCGTAAGTTTAGTAAGAATCTGCATCTCAAATTTGTCAACCATGGATGTGAATCAAATGTCGTTATAATGCAACAATAAAGCAACAAAGGATTTCTCCACACCTCAATATTTTTCCTTTCCCCATGTGATGCCAAAACGTAAAAGATTGATAGGAACCTTTTTTTAAGAACACGGCAGAGGGAACGTTCAATTATTTCAAAATGAAAGTTAGGCCTATTTCTTGATAACATGATAACACCATTTACAGGATGTCCAGCAATATTTCCCGAAAAAATTTACTACCTGGAAAAAAAATTTACTACCTGGAAAAAAAATTTACTTCCCAGCAAATGAAGCCCTACACCAGCTCAAAAAAGGGAGTTTATTTACGCCATCAATAACATAACAATATGTGTCCCGACGCGGTGGAATCAGATGCTCATCAATTTTCGAGCTGGCGGTGTTCTTGGTATCATCTAAAAGCTGATTTATTTCAAATGAAATAAAAATCTATTTATTTTGGATAGAACTCAAGATATATGCATTTGAAGGAAATTAGATCACTTGGTTTCAGTTGTGAAATTAGCGACAAAAAAGCTGCCAAAGTTTGGGAGAGCTCTATAATAGCTAAAGTGTCTTTGAAAACTGAAAAATGACATATTTTGGGCCTTTAATCAATGTTTTAAAGTAAAATTCATATGGAAATGTGTTTTTATATGGATATATATATGAGCCAAAAAATAAAAATTTCCTGAATAGTGGAAAAATACCTGTTTCTCCGATTTTGTTATTTTGATAAGAGCCTGATTTCACCACGCTGCCTCATATATTAAATATGTATGGAATGCCGAAAATAATATTCAACAAAGTCCAGTCGACAAAATGGAGGATAGACAGACGATCGTGCGCTTGTTCGCAGCTAGATTTAGACCTGATGCGTGCACATTCCAGGGGTAGATCTGTATGTTTCAGAAAAACACAAACACACACACACGTACATTATATCCAGTCAACAGTTTGACTAAAGTATTTTCCTCTGATTATTATATACAAAAAATGAATCCTGCTCTGAGCATGCAGGAGGACCTAGAATCAGAATACCAACTGAGAAGAACCATTCTGGGTGTCATGATTCATATTATGAATGTGAAAGACAAAAATGACTGCTCAAACTCAAAGTAGAGCAATAACTTGAATGGCTCAAGTAGACCCATGCAGTGTGAGAGTTGTAACAACTGAGGGAGGGCAAGATACAGTGACACTGAAAATCTGCCAGTCTTGAACAGAAAGCTACAATATAGTTATAATTTACTATCACCCATTCAATGAAACATGTACACTTTAGTTCAATAACACGGCTTACAATAATTTACAAGGTATGAAGGATCCCGATTCCACACACGGCCAGCACCAATGCACGCTTTGGCAGACAGCTCTAAATCTACCTCTGGTGTTGCCTTCAACCCCCCCCCCCCTCCCTCAGTGTATCTTTAGAAAAAAAGTCAATAATCCCCTCCCCCATTCCGGAGTCCTACACTTCCCAACGCTCAGACTTTGAATGAATTTTGGCGACCCCAACAACTGCCGATAGATCTACTCACACGATGCCGTATCATGTGATGCGAACACAACAATCTAAAAATCGGAAGACGCCTGTATTTTTTCCACAAGTGACAGCACAGAGATGAGTCCAAGTATTGATTAAATTTTATTTGCACGGGGATACAGCGTTTTTACTGCACAACCTGCATGTCACAAATGGGGTTTTTTTTTCCAGTATCATCACCTTGATATTTCCCACTATGTCTTTCTTGGGCACTGAAAATCCAGTTCCGAGCCGATCTGAAGAGAAAATAGATAAAGAGTTCAACAGTGACCCTGAAAAGTATTTTACCCTGAAAGTCATTACTCAGGACGAAGCACAGATCAGATAGAAACAGAAGAAGGGGGAGGCCCAGGAAAAGGTGGAAAGAATGGGGTCAGAGAAACAACAGTCAAGAACAATATAACCAGGTAGTAGGTGAAGCAATAAACAAAAGACGTTTGCTTCTCCCCGAAAGATAACAGAGGTAGGAAAAAACAAAACTTCTTTAGTGCAATACTGTCAAACCATGTAATCATGACATGTGTATGCCTGTTCTGGGGGAGGGGGCAATATTCATGCATATTATGTGTATGTATGTGAGGGTGTTGGTGAGTGTGCATGTGTTGGTGTAGATGTGGGTGAGCATGGAAGCACAACAGTGCTACGTTATACAAAGTATACCTTTTCTTTGGTTGTTTGAGTGAAGAGAAGCACATCGATACAATAACGGTCATTTAGCGCTGAGGAAAAGTAAGACAGACAGACAGAAACCTCGGAGCGAAAGTAAAGGAGTAGGACCTACCAATGGCGCCCTCCAACCGCCCGCAAAGTATACCCAAACCTAGTGTTGTAAAATTGAGAAAAAGCTAATAGTTGAGTTTCCACTATTGCAAATTAAACAGAAGACCAACAGAATAAAAAGAGCAATCTTAACTCACTCAATCCAGTGAGTTTTTCCCCAAAATGTACCCAGAAACAGGTCACTTTGGCACTAACGTAAGGGCCCACTTAAAACCATAAATATAATCCAACTGCTTTGAAATTTGGTGCAAAGTACAACTTAAGATAGAACTTTAAGCATACCAAATTTAAAATATGTAGCTTTGGTAATTTTGCTTTGGGGTGTTGAAGAAATACGGCATTTTTGGGGGCTTTTTTTTTATGGCGGAATCAGCAAGAGCAAGCCTACATTGATATTCAAATATGCTTCTGAGTGTCTATATATTGTATGTCATGTATAATAAAGACTATTGTATTTAAAAAATGTGTGTGTGAGAAAGGCAGGGAGAATCGATTGCGAGACATGCTCAGCTGATCAGTGTGGAAAAACATGCTGCAAGTGCTTTCATAAAAACTGTGATTTCTTTGTGTGTAATGACAGTAGAAACAAAATTTCAGCACCCCTCTAGGCAGATTTGGCCAGGGAAATAATAAATTGACCTTTATCAAAACTTGAGGCAGTTTTCCAAAATGAAATAACTAGTATACAGAACAAAACTATAGAACCGAAACTATAGAACCGAGCTATCTCAGCCAAAGGATTGAACGCAGCCCGAGATATCTCGGTCATGGGACTGAGTCAGTTAATACCTACTATCCTGTAACACCTTAAGCTTTTAAATAAAGGAGAAAAACCTTACCCAAAATACTAGTTATATCAACACAAGCTTTCAGGAATTGTGCAGTAGCCATTTCGCTATTATTGTCGACAGCATCAAACTTCTCATTGACACCAAATGCTGTTTTGTCTGTAAACTGCTGGAGAGCATTAGGTCCAGAGTCTCCCGTTAACTCCGACATCTTTGAAACCTTGCGAAGTCAGTAAATTCTGCAGATCTGTCTTTTTTAAACCACAGATACCAACCTGAAAAAAACCCCAAAAAAACAATGAAAGTCTGCACTTTAAAATTCTAAAATCTGCACCAAAAAAAGAAATAAAATTAATTCAATTTAAAAAACTGCATATAAAGACAAAAGGAGGAAAAGAGTAGTGAGCATCTGATTTCTGAATACTCTGATCAACATCTGACACAAAATGGGGAATCTGTTGGATCATAATAATGAAAATGGGAAAGAAATTATGCGAGGGGACAGATAAACTCATCATGAGGTGGAGAAATTCCAAGCGTTCCATCCTCCACTGGAGATCTAAAATAAGTACATGGCATATATATGCATACTAGTCTTAGGAAGTGTTATTGATTTCAATTTGACATACATACAACATTCACTTCTATTTTGAACATTTTCTGTCATCAGGCCTGAGTGGTTTTGTATCAGTTAATTAACTTAAAACAAAACAAAGCATTGGAATTGAATGGTAACTTAGAACATCTCTTTCAAAATATAATGGCTCTCACCTGTATTAGTAATACTCAGTACATGTCTAGTACTAGTATTATACCTAATTTTTTATTTTACAAAAACAAAACAATAAAAATAAAGGTAGTTCATGTCGAATGTCACAAATACTTGAATGATAATGCGACATCACATTCAATAATTTATCAAATCTGTTGAGGCTGTACATTCTAACTCGTAATTTAAGGTCATCAGCTGACAAAAAGACATTTCCTTTACCATTTATGAAACTTAAATGGGTGAAAAGGCCTTTGAATATCAAGACCCCTAGACTTGGAATGCTTTGCCAAGTAGTTTAAGAGAGATCAAATCCTTTGATTCCTTCAAATGTCAGCTGAAGTCATTTCTGTTTTTAAATTGATAAGATGAATATTTAGATAGATTTTCTTTCTTATGTTACTGTTGTATTGTAGTAAAGTGCTATATATAATGTCATTATATCATAATTATTATGTCTCCACTATGGCTAAAATCATAAAGCTCTCTTCTGTCTTCCTTAAAAAGGAGCGACATGGAACATCCACAGAAGATGTCCTCATGAATAGAGGATTTCTGGGAGTTCTGACACACAGGTCTCATGCTCAGGTATTGTACAGCACTTTTCTTATTCAATTTCATCAACTTCCCAAGTCAAATTTTGACTTTTATCATTTTATAACCATCGCAAATCATTACTTTCGGGGGGAGCATCCCCTGGATCTCCACATAGTCAGAGGTTGAGAAAACATTGTAATTTGCACTGGAACAAGGAAGGGTGGGGGGGCGCTCAGAGGTGATTTGGCTCAATTAGTAAGTAGAGCATCAGCATGCAGGCGTGATAGTACAGTTAAACATCAGCATGCAGGTGTGATAGTACAGTTAAACATCAGCATGCAGGTGTGATAGTACAGTTAAACCCCTTCAAAAGCGTAGTTGGCTATTTGGTTTAGTAATTTATCATTTTGGATTTCCATTCCTTACAATATAATCAGATAAGATACAAATCTTTATTATCCAGACGCTGGCAAATTGGCTTGGTGTTTCCCCACACACCAGTACACACTGACACAATATACACACACCCATACAAACACCCTACTCTCCACACACACACAACGGTACGTATATGAAATAAATCGGACACAGCACACACATTTTATAATACGATTTAGAGTACAGTCGAACCGGCGTAAAATGGCCTCCCACTGTCAAGGAGAAAATTGGCCTTTTATAACACTGGTGGCTATCCTAGGAAGAACTGATCAAAATGAAGAAAACGAATCATTCCCTTCTGAGGTCCAAACTGGAGCTGATTTTAGGCTTCGATCTAGGACTGCCGCAAGGCGAATTCAAAAGGGTTTTTTTGTTTTCTTTTGAAAAAAATAGGGAGGGGGAGGGGGAAGAGGGGGGGGGTAATGAGAAATTTTACCAGTCATTTCGTCACGCCCCAATTATTTGTGACGAAATGACTTCGCTTATCTCTCCAAAATTGTCACTGAAGTAGAGTATTGGAGGATCAACGCCAGCAGTCTTTATTTTCAACCACCAATTCAAGCATGTAATCGTTGGGCCGTGCCATCTTGTTTTTAAGTAATCTAAGCCTAAAATACCCCCACCCCTCCAACAATAAAAACAGCTCAATAAAACTCATTCAGAGAGTTTATGAACAGTGTTGCTGATCAGGTATGCATGACCCCCCCCGGTCTTTCCACACACCACCTAACCGTCCTCTAAAAATCGTGATTTTCGATTGCAATGACAATGTGCATTTGATGTCGACTACTCGTGAAGGAGGAGTGTAAACAGGGGTTTTTCTGTGTCGCAACGTGGAGGAATCAGGCGCTCATCAATTTTGGGACATGGAGTTATTGGTGTATCATCTTAAAGCTTGTTCACTTGCCTTGCTTTTGGTGAAAAAAATATCCATCTATATTGAATAGAAGTAGAAATATTTGCAATTGAAAGAGGTGATCAGGGTCGCCTGATTTAGGAGGTGAAATTAGCGAGAAAAGGGCCGCCAAAGTTTGGTAATTTCCGTTGCTTGATAGTCCTTGAAAAATGAAAATAATAAACATTTTTTTGTGCCTTCAATCACAGTTTTTCAGTAAAATCAACATGGAAATGTTGTTTCTAAATGGATATATAAAAGGTGTTGAGCGAAAAAAACCAAATTTGAAAAAAATTGTGAAACAGTCAGAAAAATGCCAAAATTTCTTTGATTTAATTATTTTGACGAGCGCCTGATTTCACCACGATGCCTCACAAATAAAGAATGTAAGATGATGAAACCGAATGCCAAGGTAAAACAAACACTGGTTTGCCACCATTCGGAGAACGAGCAACGCTTCTGTCGCAAGTTCACGTAAAAGTCGACCAGTAAATTTTGTTACTTTGTTACAGATTAGGTAAACAAAACAGTGACCAGTCGACTTCAAGACCAAGTAAGATTTGTGAGTTGTGGGTAGGGCTATAGGTTATGACGGAGGTTCACATGCTTCCCTCACGAGCAGTCGAAAATTTATTGAACTGTTACCCATTGGTCAACTTGGTAAACATTTATTTTACTGGAGGGACTAACAATTACGACAAATGAACAGATGATTATGACGGCCAGCCTAGTCCACTGTGTCAAAGGCCTATTTAGAATTTAATGACAAGTGCGCGAGTCCAGACCACGCCTGGCCACCTCAGGCAGGTGTAAATTTGGTTCTGGGTTTATAAAATGGGAGTGTAAACAGACCCGGTAACCGGGAATAAAGTCACAAAGTATACAGACCCGGTAGGGGAACTCTTTTGTGATTTCGGAAAGTTTCAGCACCCTCTTGGCTCAGGGTAGAACTAGGTTCGGTGTTCGTTAAAGTCCACGATTCATTTGTTTACATCCAGAGAAGAAATCCAGAAGTCTTGAAGACCAAATACTATTTGAATTAATTAGGCTACACAAAGAGCAGGGATGCAACCTAACTGCAAAACATCAAATTAGGATAAAATTCAGGGGGACATGCCCCCCTGAACCCCCCACCTCCATATTTTTTTAGGTCAGGTGAAACCCCCCTACTCTTGACTTTAACTAACGAAACTACAAAATCGCCCTAGGTTCATCTTTTCTAGATCTATGGCCTAGGTCTAGATCTAGACAGACAGATATAAATCATTGATCTAGTTTCGAGGCTAGCCTAGATCTAGATATCTAGATCTAAAACTAAATGAAGATTGCGGATGTCTTTTCGATGAACGATCATTTTTCCCCTGTTTTGGAGTTGGAGGAATCACAATTTGAAGAAAAGAACAATGTCATAATTTCAATCGAGCAGTCACCCTCTCTCTCTCTCTGTGTATCGGTCGCATTCTTTTTTTCATTGTTTGTCTCTGTCTTTCGTTCCCTCCTGCCAACAGGTGGGCATGTCTACATTTTGCTAGCACTTTCCCATGCTCTCTCTCTCTCTCTAACTCACACACACTACCGGGTCTGGGCGCTGAAACTTTCCGAAATCACAAAAGAGTTCCCCTACCGGGTCTGTATACTTCGTGACTTTGTTCCCGGTTACCGGGTCTGTATACACTTCGTTATAAAATTTAATAATCTGCCTGCGCGTAGTTGAGGTGACCGTTTTACCCAGAGAAAAACCACAGGGCACAGGGGGAGAATGGAAAGTGGTTGAATTATTATACAGGTGGCCGTCGTCATGGCAGGTTCGAATCATGTACAAGTTGCACTCACTAATAATTAACACACTTCAAGTTATAAATATTTATTGTCCTACATTACAGTATTATTAAATAAACAATTTTAATGTCAACAATAGCAATCTCTAGCAATAGTCACGTCTCAGTCTCAAGTCTGTCACCGGCACCGGCCTCAGAAGTTGCAGCCAACAAAAAAGTCAAGCAAGAGACGACTCATGACACCAAAAATCAAGGGATACCAAAAACAATGCACGTAAGCATACTTTTATGAATGCATCGATAGTTTCACCGATAGATTTTTTAAGTCGTCACCACTAGCCTAGTCTCTTGGTGATTCAGAGACCCGACGGTGTGAGTTGTAACGTTGGGCTTGGCAAACAATAACGTGCCAGTTACTTGGTGTGTTTTTGGAAGTGGAAGATTGCAAACCGGCATATTATTATTATGGTTTGTTGATTTACAAAACTAGACGTAGGTTTTTCTGCAACAGTTCAATACATTTTCGTGTCTCTAAGTGGTAGTATAATATCTTATTTCCAGAGCCTTTTCCTCTTCGAAAGGACCTAGAACAATATAAATATTACTTTACATATTATTTTACAAAATACAGTTACCTCAGTTATTCCCAAAATGTTAAAGCCCAAACACCTCTTTTAAAACAGTATTTTGTTTAGGCGGGCACTATTTCTCCGAACGTTCGGGAAAATAAAGCTGGGCACTATTTCTCCGAACACTCTGAAATCACATCCTTTCCGCAAATTTCGGATATTATATAGATCTATAATTATAGTATAGGCCTACCAAAGATTGTTCGTATACAATATGGTTCAATCGGTCCAAAAAATGTCCGCAGTAAATATTTATAAAGAAACGCTACAGCTCCAAACAGTTTTTCGCTACAGATATGACGTGTTGCCTATGAAGGGTGCTGCTCTTAAGTTAAACTTAATGCGTTGTGTTCACTCGTGTGCTGTCTAGTCTAGGTCTACGGAGGGTTATTGATAACGACACATAGAACTAGCATAGATAATAGATATCTGCGTTTGTTGCGGCTGCGACCAATCAAACGTGGCTCGATTTTTTGGCATTTTTTGGTCCCCATCGGAGGATGAAAGTCAAATTTAAAAAAAAGAAAGAAACCGAACCTCTTTATTTTTGAAAGAAAGTTCACCTAGCTTCACTTCGTCTCTTTCTCACTTGTTGTCACCACGTTGATTTGTTGAATACGTTACAGTTACTTTTATTTTTCAGTTCTCACAAATTAATCAGTCACCATGTCTGGAAGTTTGTGAGAAGGAAACCGCTTCTCGGCCCATGCTGCACCAGAGCACCAGAGCACTAGAGCCCCAGTACCCCCAGACGACGCCGAGCAAAGACAACCCTGCACCAAGGAGGACTCGTGAAGGTATAACCGTTTGTTTGGGGTTTTTTGTTTTCTTTCTGTCCTGGTGCAGGGCCCTGTCCCCTCCACACCACCCCGCCGTCTGGGAAGTGCCGAGAGGCGGTCCCATAGGACCAAGACAAGACCGGACCGCCACAATCACCACCACCAACACCTCCCGAGATGCCTCACAAGACAGACTGTCGGTTTGACGATGATCCTGACCTAGGCGATCATAAATGGCGATTATATGACCGTCTAGATCCTGACCCACACCCCACCGGGACCCTGACCGTCACCCTCACTGGCCGGTACTCCGCCACCGTCCCCGCCGCCACTATCATGCAGAGAATAAACGAAACACACCCCGACCTGCGGCTCAAAAAACACTACCGACTACAGGAATCGTACACCATCTACCTGGAGCCGCAGGCGGGGTCGGACTTCAAGCGTTTACACTCAACGGTCCTGAACGAGGTGGCGGAGGGGACGGACGCCCTCCTCTAAAGAATGACTCATCACTTGTCGGATAACATCAATGAACTTTTAATGATTCAACGGGGTTACAAGTGATGACGACATCAACTGAAATGAAATGGAAAACACAAGACGGTGATGTAGAACGGAATGAAATGATAAGTGATCGCACTGACAAATGAATCTAGACCTGCATGCATGAGTCCCCGAGGGGCGCAGAGTGATGATGATGATAGAGCATGAACTGATGAATAACACTAATAATACAGCTACATCCCCCCCCAAGTTCATGGCCTGTCGAGAGGCTTTCTTCGCCGCTGAGGGGTCACAGTCTCTTTGAGTCCTGGCTTATTATGTGGCATGAGACGTTGCAAGGCCCTGTGGGTTCTGGAAGGGGCTGCTTCTTGCCCGGTGGGGGTAGGCACTTCTGACATGACGGGGGTGGTCGGTGCTTCTGACACGACGGGGGTGGTCGGTGCTTCTGACACGACGGGGGTGGTCGGTGCTTCTGACACGACGGGGGTGGTCGGTGCTTCTGACACGACAGGGGTGGTCGGTGCTTCTGGCATGGTAGAAGGAGACGATGAGGGACCTGGAATAGCGGTTTCAGGGAAGGGTGCGGAAGGGGGGCATGGGGTGCTCTCCTGTGTCTCATCGGATGTAGCGGGAGCGGCGACGGGGTTGGGGGGTGGGATATATGGAGAGGGATCTGGTGCTGTCTCTTGAATGGTGGGCGACTGCCTAGGAGGGGCTCGTTCGGTTGCAGTCGTTGCCGGTTTGAAGGCTCTGAGAAAGCGTCTGTTGCGTCTTGTGACGCGTCCAGAGCCATCAATCTTGATAATGTACTGGTTGTGGTCCAGCACTTCCGTCACCAGCCCTGTGCGGTCCCATTTTTTAGGCGCATTCCCGGTTTGGTTTTGCACGAAGCATCTGTCACCTGGGGACAGGGGTGGGAGAGCTTTGACATGCTCATTCAATGTCTCTGTCGTCCTGGTGTACCGTGCTCGGAGAGCAGCCTCTTTTAACGCCCAGGCCTCTCGCCATAGGGGATTGATGGACGGATTAGAGAACTTTTCCAGTCTGTTAGTGAAGGAAAAAGCATCACGAATGGGGCGTCCGAAGATGATCTGGGCTGGTGACACATTGCAGTCGGGATCGGGAGTATTGCGCAGCTGGAGCATGGCATGCAGTAGGCGGTCGTTGTCCAATGTCCCTGTTGGGCCCACATTAGATCGGAGAAGTCTCTTAGCACTCTTCACAGCAACCTCGGCACGGCCATTGGATTGGGGGTGGTACGCGGAGGACAGGCGATGCCTCACTCCCCAACGCTGAAGGAATTCACCGGTAGCGCTTGCTGCGAACTCAGGGCCCCCGTCACTGGAGAGCTCCTCAGGGACGCCGAAGGTGGTGAAGAACGATCTGAGACATGCTATCAGGCCTCGGGCCCCTGAGTGAGGGCTTCCTGTGGGTGTAGAAAATATTTCTGACCATCCGGAAAGACGGTCGCCAACAATGAGGTAGTGGTGGCCACCGAACTCGAAGAAGTCAGCGAAGATTTGTTCGAAAGGGGTGGATGGCGGGATTGCTGGTTCAGACGGCAGTGGAGCCTGGGATGGAGCGTTCCGATTGCACTCACGACATTTTGTTCTTGTGGATTGGATGTCGTTGGTGATACCTGGCCAGAAGACGATGGCTTGGGCCCGTAGTTCCATTGCTGATACGCCCTGATGTGCTGAATGCAGTCCCTCAAGGATCGACGGTCGAAGGGACGATGGCACCACCACACGATCGTTGTACATGACCACACCATCTAGGATGTACAGGGAGTCCTTGTATCGCATCAAGGATGAGATTGATGGGTTGTCGTGGACAAATCCCTCCGATATTGCTGTCATCACTTGGGACAGGACAGAGTCCGCTTTTGTCTCCTGTGCCAGCCGAGACCAGGGAATGGAGGTGAGCCCCTCTGCGTTCTGACATATGGATGCAATTAGTAAGGATTCAGAGCAGTCCTCGGGTGATGCCTCTGTATATGCGCAGGGATGACGAGAAGTGGCGTCTGCTGCAGAGTTTGTTTTTCCCGGTAAGTGGGCGATCCGAAAATACCAAGGCAGAGTGCGCTGCTTCAGGCGGAAGAGGCGCGAGTTTGAAATCTTATCGAGGGTGCGATCTCCGAAGATCTTTGTGAGCGGCTTATGGTCCGTGATCACGATGAGGTTGGGGCAGCCTTGGGTGAAGTACCGTGTCTGCTCTAGGCCCCAGGCAATCGCTAACGCCTCGCCTTCAATGGGTGCGTCGAGCAAACTGCAATTTGTAAGGATTCAGAACAGTGCCAGTGTGATCTTCCAGCCATCTTGGCAACAGTCTGGCATACCAGTGGTGCAAGAACAATGCTGCTGGAGGAGGAAATAGCCAATCCCTCGTGAAGACCAATCTGAGCGGAGGCAAGTAGGTTTTGAGGTGTCGAATATCTCGACACCCAGGCGGATTGCATCTACGATGGCTTGCTTGGAATCACTGAAGGCCTGGTCCAACACAGGAGTCCAGAAGAATTTGTACTTTGGGCTCAGGAAGGCAGAGTGCGCTGCTTCAGGCGGAAGAGGCGCGAGTTTGAAATCTCATCGAGGGTGCGATCTCCGAAGATCTTTGTGTCAGTGGTGTTCTTTGGGGTGGGGAAGGATTGAATGGCTTCCAGGTATTTTGGGAGTGGCTTTATAGTGTGTTCTGAGACATGAAACCCTGCAAATTCGACATCTCGTCGAGCAAACTGAAATTTGTCTGGATTCAGAACAATGCCTGCTCTGCCCACCAGTGTCAGAAAGTCGATGGTCCTCCACCAATGCTCCTCCAGATCTTCGTCATAGTGAATGGTATCGTCGACGCACCTCTCCTTTCGCTCGAAATCAGCCAATATCTGGTCGAAGCGGCGATTGTACCCGTCACCTGATGACAGGTAGCCCTGAGGGGCACGGGTATACCGCCATCGGCCAAAAGGTGTAATAAAGGTGGTCAAGTGGCGGTCAGATTCTCTCAATGGAACACTGTGGTACCCATTCCATGCATCTGTAACTGTCTTCCATGTGTTCCCTGGCACACGTCGAGCTAGGAGGAACGGGGCCTCAGCGGCAAAGGTCTCCCGTTTACAGAATTTGTTGAGTGGAGATAGGTCCACTGTACGCCTCGGGGACCCATCGTGTTTCCTGGTAACGACCATGCGATGACACCAAGTCACTGGTTCACCGTAGGGGACCCTCTCAATGACGCCCAGGGCCTCGTCACGTAGGAGGTCCTCATACACACGCCTTTGCCAGTGCATTGGGACTGGTGCTGCAGTGTAACATGTGCGTGGGGTGGCTGAATCATCAATATGGATCTCAATGGGGGGACCTGTCATGCAGGGAAGGGGACGATGGGGGCAGGTATTAAAT